TACATGGGTTTTAGGGTGTTGGTCAGTGATTGTTGTTTGAGGATACATGGGTTTTAGGGTGTGTTTTTTCAAGTTTATGTGTTCTCTTTGGTCTCTAACTCTTCAGAAAATAAAGAAATTAATTCTGCCTGTGTAACTTTCTCTGGTTTGCCAACGAGCAGGGTTCCTGAATTTCTGTGATCTATGATCGGTTCTCATAACATAAAACAACCTGTTTCCTGTGGCTAACATTAGCCTCAGAGGGCAAAAACACAAATTGTAGTGGAGAAAGCATGAGATCGACTTGGGGACGTAAATATTAAAGGTAAATTGGGGTGTTTCAATATTAAGCAGGTAAATATCATTACCCCCCTTCCCCTCTCCTTTCTCTTTTGGCATCAATATCTTCCTGCAAGAATCGAAAGTGGAAAAGGTAATCAAGGTGAGTTAAAAGAGAAAAACAGAGGGCGTCCCGTTAAGTTTGAATTTCAGATCAACAAAGAGATATTTTTTTAAGTATCAGTATGTCAAATATTCACGGCAGATAGAACTGCCCCTGTAGGTTTTTGAGTCTATAACTCTTAACAGGAGTAGAAAGTCTTATCTTTCCCCTACTTATGTATGAAGACATAATTAGTAAACAATAAGCAGAGCCCGTTCCAGAGAATAAAAAATTATGTATATTAAAGTATCCATGGAGTGGTTTTATGAAGTTATAGATTGATTGTGACGTATATAGATGCAGAAATAACCTGGAAGTATTTCAGCTCCATCTAATAGAGTGTAGCTCTTGAACAAAATCTTCTAGGTTCTCAACATTCTAAGAGTTAATGTTTTCTGGTTTTTTGAGTTTGTAGTGTGAATATGGCATTGCAATTAATCTGTTTTCTTCACATTGAAGCACACATTTTATCATTTCCCTAAAATTAAATTTCCTCTGAAACTCACCTCCAGTCATCTTTGGATAAATTTGCCAAGATATTCATTTCTTCATCTTGCATAAGTCGATAGGCTGCACTCACGTGATGATTCTCCAGGACGGAGCGATCGTTATATAAAATGGCGACATCTGACCTAAGAAGTAAAAGCACATTGCCATAAAGGATTTCTTTAGACTTTCTGGATGTCTCATAAAAGAACTCATGTTTCAAGATGTTGCATTGATTAAAATAGCTTATAATTGAATGCCAAAATGTATGGAAGAAATTAATTTCCTATTGATTATCAGAGAATAAATGTGCTTAAGCCTTTTCTATTGTGATTCAAATTCTTGCCAAATACCCATGATAGGCCAGAGGGAAAAAAGACCTGATATTCTCATTCAATCCTAGAATAACCACATATCTTTATATGCATTCCAGACAGTCGAATATCATCCACATTCTCTTAGACTAAAGTTACTTTGAGGATGGGGTAAAGGGGAAGACTGACATCAGTTGATCCACTTATGATTCGGTCTTCCCTCCCGACAATGGTATGACAGCAGCTCCGGTGGTGCAGCGGGTTGGGCCACGGACTTCAGGGTGACCACAGTGACTGCACAGGACAAGCGGAGGCCATCTAGTGTCACGAAGATTTAGAATCTCAGAAACCCACGGTGGCTTTTCAACCTCTCCCAAAGGTCACTATGAGTCAGAAATCAACTCAACGGCAGCGGGCTTGGTTGTTGGTTTTGGGCTATAAAGCTATGATTAGCTTTGAAAATTATAGGATATTTTGCTTGAAATTAAACCAGTGTAAGCCATTTTTAAATAAATTTAAAAATACATATTTCACTAGAAATTTATAATTCATAGGTTTTCAAATGATAAATTCATAAAAGGAACATTTTGTTTTTCCTGTTTATTCCTTCATATCATTTGATTACTGTTGAATTTTTGAATTTAGTATTCTAGCATAAGGTTTTAAATATTCTAAATATTTTCAAGTATGTCTGCTCCTCTAGGTTGCCATGTCATTTTGCCAGCATGGCATAGAAGCAATGCTATAATGGACAACAGACAAGGGGGTGAAGGGAGACATCGGACAGTGCAGGACATGAAGAAATAATCATAATTTATAATTATCAAGGGTTCATGGGGGATGCAGCGAGGGGGAGGGTAGGGAAAAATGAGGAGCTGATACGAAGGGTTCAAGTAGAAAGAAAATTCTTTGAAACTGATGATAGTAACAAATGTACAAATGTGCTTGACCCAATGGATGGATGGATGGATTGTGATGAGTTGTACATGAGATGTTAAATGATTTATAAGAAAAAAAGAAAATAATTGTCTAGAAAAGAATGATGGCAACATATGTACAAATATGCCTGATACAATTGATGCACGGATTGTAATAAGAACTGTAAGAACCTTCAAAAAACTGATCAAAAAAGAAGAAAGAAAAAGAAGCAATGCTAGTATGTTGCATGACTCGAAGTGCTGAACGTACTTATATATAGAAGCTGAGAAGCTGGAGGTTCAAGCGAAGAAACTCACTAACACAGCGTTCAGGCTGACTCTTAGGACAGGGTAGAACTGCCCCTCTGGGTTGGAAATCTCTCAGAAACAAACCAACAACCTCGCTGCCCAAAAGTTAATTCTGACTGGTAGTGACACGACAGGAGAGAGTAGAACTGACTCTGGGATTCCACGATAGTAACACTTCACAGGAGTAGAAAGGTTCATCTTTCTCCCCAAGAGCCTCAGTTGTTTCCAACAGCTGAGCTCAGGGCTGGCAGCCCCACACGTGGCCCACTACACACCAGGGCTCCGGGTGGTTTGGAAGGAGAGCAGCACCAATAGGAAGGGAGAGTCAAGGTGAAACCTGTGTCAACTCTGCCTCCATTTCCCCCATCCCCCAGCATCCTCCTGCTCTGTTTCCTTTTGGTAGATGTATTCATTTTGGAAATTTATGTTTTTACTGCCTTAAGACATTCAAGGAGCCTGGCTTGGTGGTGTAGGGTGCTGGGAGTTGGGCTGCTAACTGGTGCAAAGTTATCGGTTCAAATCTACCAACCACTTTAGGGGAGAAAGATGAAAATTTCTGCATCAGTGAAGATGTATAACCTCAGAAACCCAAGAAGGCCAGTCTGCTCTGCCCTACAGGGTCACTCTGAGTCAGAATGGACAATGGCAATTAGAGGTGTGTTGTCGTGGTTGTGTGGGCTACTGCTGTGGTTATTACATGCCCCGCAGTCAGTTGCAACTCATTCTGACGCCATGTGTACAGAGTAGAACTGTTACACAGGGTTTTAAAAGCGGTATGACCTTTCAAAAGTAGATTATTAGCCCTATCTTCCAAGTCTCATTTGAGTAGGTTTGAACCACCAACTTTTGGGTCAGTAGTCAAGTGAGTAGTCCTAGTTAAGACCTAGAATTAGGGTCACCCCTTGAGATTTATGGAGGGGCAGGCAAGGATAAATTAATTTGCGTTAAACTGTAGTAATCTGCCTTTGCTATAAGCAACTTATTTAAGATCTGTATCTAAGTTTTCCACACAATCTAAATTTTATTATGAATCCAAACTCCAAAAACTCACTGGTATTGAGTTGATTCTAACTCACAGTGAGCCTATAGGACAGGGTAGAACTGTCCCTGTGGGTTTCTGAGATCGTAACTCTTTACGGGAGTAGAAAACCTCATTTTTCTCTCACTCTTCAGCTGGAATCATCAAAAGGAAACCTGTTGTTAATCGATGTTGGCGAGTTAGGTTCAACTCATAGCGACCCCATTACAGCAGAACAACACATTGCCCAGTCCCGGGTCACCCTCACAACAATGTTTGAACCCACTGTTGCAGCCACGGCGTCAATCCATCTCATTTAGCACCTTCCTCGTATTCATTGTCTCTCTACTTTACCAAGCGTGCTGTCCTTCTCCAGGGACTGGTGTCTCCTGATAACATCTCCAAAGAATGTGAGCAAGTCTCACCGTCCTTGTCTCAAAGGAGCATTCTAGCTGTGCTTCTTTCAAGACAAATCTGGGTTTTCTTTCGGCAGTTCGTAGTACCTGAAATAGTCTTTGCCAAAATTATAGTTCAAATGTATTCATTTTTCATAGGTCTTCCTTATTCGATGTCCAATTTTCATATGCGTAAGAGGCAAGAGAAAATACCATGACTTGGGCCAAGCACACCTTAATCTTCAAATTGCCTCCTTGAATATCAGCACGTGAAAGAAGTCTTCTGCAGCCGACTATTTAATGCAACCTACTGTTTGATGGCTTCACTGCTGCGTCCGTGGGCATTGATCGTGGATTCAAGAAAGGTGGAATCTTTGACAGCCTCAAGCTTTTCTCCATTTACCGTGATGCTACCTTTCAGTCCAGTTATGAGGATTTTTGTTTACTTGACATTGAGTTGGGAGCCCCAGTGGCCTAGTGGCTACACTTTGTGCTGTCAGCCCAAACTGGAAACCACCAGTTGTTCTGTGGGAGAAAGATGAGTCTTCCTACTCCTCTAAAGAGTGACAGTAGCAAAACCCATAGGGGCAGTTCTTCCCCGCCCTATTATGGATCTGAATCCCCTCGAGGGTAGGAAGGGAGGGAGGGAGTGACGCGGAGTTGCAATCCACACTACAGGCTGCGATGCTTGACGTGTATCACCAAGTGCTTAAGGCCTCCTCACTGTTCAGCAATGGAAGCTGTCATCAGGATACTGCAGGTGGTTCAAAAAATTCCTCCAATTCTGATACTGTACTTTTCTTCACAGAAGCCAGCTTCTCTGATTATTTCTCAGCAGACAGCTTGCATGGATATGGTGAGAGGATACAACCCTGATACACACCTTTCCTGATCTGAACTCATGCAGTATTCCCTTGTTCTGCTTACACAGTGGCCTCTTTTTCCATGCCAGGTTCCACAAGAACACAATGAAGTGTTCTGGAATTCGCATCCTTCTCATGGCTACCCATAGCTTGTATGGTCCACAGAGTCAAATGCCCTTGCATCGTCTATAACACACAAGTAAACATCGTTCTGGTATCATTTGCTTAGGGGCAAGAGCCATGGAGCATCCCTGGCTCACGCTTCTTCTGAATCTAGCGTGCACCTCTGGTAGCTCTCGGTCAATGGACTGCTGAAATTGTTGTTAGGCAATAGCTAGAGAAAAGTTACTTGCATAAGATACTAAAGATATTGTTCTTTAATTGGAGCATTATGCTGGGCCACCTTTCTTCTTCTTCTCTTCTATAAATCATTTTATTGGGGGCTAGGTCACCTTTCTTTGGAATGGGTACAAATATGGGTCTCTTCCAATAGACTGCCAAGTGTATGTAGCACATAGCTCCAAAATAGGTTCCCTTTTAACGATACCCACTAAACCTTAAAAATCCCTTTCCCACAACCTAATACACAGAAAGTAGAACAAGGGAAGCATATATGCAGTGCGTAGTTAAGAGTGAATTAAATAGATCTTGCTAAAGTGATAAAATGTTTGTGGGTTCTTTAATATCATGGGGAAAATTGTGATAATATCAGTCAGGTGTCCTAATTCCCATATCTAACCCTAGCAGTTTGTCAGTGTGGCAGTTATATAATCTCCTGCCAACTTGAGTGAAGGGGTGGAGTCTAGCCTGTCAATCAGTCATAGCCAAAGAGGCCTCTGTGTGAGCATGGCCTTCTTCTGAGGATTCTGGGAACTTCTGTCTTCCTCCCTGGAGGCGGGACACATTTTCTGCTTCACATTTCTTTTGACAAGCCACATGGAGACACATTGATGGAGCCAGAACCCTGGACTTGGGGAAGCCATGTGGAAACCCACACCAGTGCTGAAATGCTTACACCACCACTGGATCTACAAAGACCCACTGGCCTGTGATCTTCCTGCATTCGGTGCCATTGCATGTGTTATGAGTCTGCAGAGAAATTTATAAACTGGTATCAGACATATGGGTTAATATTGACTTATGGACTTGATCTGGACTGGGCTGGGATGTTTTCTTAATATAGAATTACTCTTTATATAAAGCTCTTTCTTACACACATATGAATGTCTATGAATTTGTTTTTCTAGTCAACCCTAACCAACACAGTTTGGTTTATTTTATATTACCCCAAAGATAACTATGTCTGCATTTCAGAAATAAGCAAAAGTGTGCTTTTTGATCAAATATAATTGAGGATGTTGAGAATAGAGCAAGGCCTTAGTGTTTACAGAGATGGTCTTTGATTGCTAAGAAAAGAACAAGACTCTAAGCAACATCCAGTATCCATGGTAACACAGAGCTTGGCTTTTAAAAAAATTCCACAAAGAAGAAATTATTTTCACTTATTTACACTTTCAAGGATTTCATGAATTATAATATCTGTATTTCTCTCAGATGTAGCCTGGCAAAATTTATTAAATTAGTTTTCCACATTTTGCATTACACTTGAAATGAGTTTCAGTGTCGGGAGCAAACTCTGAATCCAAATGACAATGAAAAATATAAAGTGCAGTATACTTATTATCAGTGGCATAAGAATTTATTTCTCCAGGATTAAAAAAAATGGAGGCAAGAGGGAGAGCTAAAGAAAACAAAGAAAAAGAAAGAAAATTATATTGTTACCTTGTGGTCATTATGTATTTATTGTTCATATAAATTATATGTTCAGGTAGTTAACCCATTAAATAGACTGTGGTAGTTTATTAAAATTCATAAAACATATTTTTCCTTTTGATATTTAAACTATTTTTTGTTATAAATGGGTGAAGGTTCCGAGAGCAGGTGAGCTTCCCACTGAGGACTTCTCTGTATTTTGTTCGACCTTACTCATCACGTTCCCCGCAGCATGCCGTCACTTTGCCCACTCTCCTGTCTCCTCTCTCTGCCCCTCCTGCTGCCCGAAACCCCTGCACATAATCCCTGGGTAAACGCTCCCCTTCTGAGGTCAAGTGGTGGATTACTCTAAGGTATCCATACCTCCTAAGTGTTATTGCTCTCTTTACAGATCTATTATCTGACCAAACATTACGCTATGGGGTGGGTTCATTTTTAGACCTGAATGAAAGATTTGCAGAAACACGGTGTCTTTTGTAAAGTGAGTGAAATTTCCTATGAGAACAAAGTTGAATTCTGCCTCTCATCATAAAGCTCTCAGATCATCTAAAAAGACCTTATGGTACCATCCAACCTGATTATTTTGATTCTAATGATTGCCATCCTCTATGACATCATTAAACAATCACGATTTTTCAACTATTCTGTTTGTACTAACTAGGATGTGGAATTCCTTTGATTTATAAGTTTTATTTATATGTTCATTCATTACTATTTATGCTGGTTTAATGTATACTGATATGATGTTTAGGTGCTACTGTTGTTCGGGGCCATCAAGCCCGCCCACCACAATCCTGTGCACAACAGAATGAAAACACCGCCTGGTCCTGCCCCCTCCCAATCGTTCCTGTGCCGGAGCCCTTTGCTGCAGCCACTGTGTCCATCCATCTCCTTAAATAGCTTCCCTTTGCGCTGCCCCTCTACTTGACCAAACACGCTGTCCTTCCCCAGGGACTGGTCTCTCCTGAGAACATGTCCAAAGTTCGTAAGACAACGTTTTGCCATTCTTTCCCTAAGGAGCACTCTGAACATACTTTAGTCATTTTAGTACAGTTTATTATTTTCTAATATAAAGTGACACTAACATCAGTATCTTAAACAACAATTTACAAGATTTACTTCAGTGAATAATCTGTTGTGTCACCGTTAAGAGTGCAAGTTCTGGGCAGTAAAAACTTAAATTAAAAATGTTTCTTTAAACTACTAAATCTATTGCAAACCACACACAAATTTTCATAAATAATTCTTGATTAATTTATGTATTTAAAGTTTAAGGGGTAAACCCATTCTTATTAAAATTCTTCATTTTAGAAAGAGCTAAAGACAAAAGCAGTAAATGTTGTTATATGCATGTGATAGTTACATTTGATGTCAACTTGTACCTATGTGGAGGTAGATGTGGAGTAGAGAGTCTTAATCAGTCAGTCAAATGAGGTCCCCTTGGTGGTGGCCTTCTTAGGAGAGACACTCAGAAAAACCGAACCCTCTCTTGCCCTTCAACTTTCCACCTGACTAGGTCCTGTGACTCGTGGCTGAGGCCAGTGGCCCATATGGGCTGCCGAGCCTGGAGCTGTGGTGCCCTGCCATGTTCCTGCAGATGTTGGATCCTGGGACTCTGAACCCACTAGCCTGTGATCTCCCAGCCCCTCACTTCACCTTCCTGCCTCCTCGATTGGCAGCTGTGTAAATCCGAAGGCCCCTAGCTGGCATCTGAACCATGGGTTTGGATTAGAACGGTCCGGGCTGCTTTCTTGATATGAAGTTCTTTCTTTACATAAAGGTCTTTCTTCTACATATGAGTATGAGTGGTTTTGTTTCTCTACAACACTCAGCCTAACACAACGAAAATCCTTCAAGAACGGTGTGCTACAAGTTGATGCACGGATACATATGCAGGCTGAATGGGTATAGGACAGTGGTTCTCAATCTTCCTGATGCCGCGACCCTTGAATACAGTTCCTCAGGTAGTGGTGATCCCCAATCATAAAATTATTTTCATTGCTACTTCGCTACTGTAACTTTTCTACTGTTATGAATCGTAATGTAAATATCTAATATGCTGGATGTATTTTCATTGTTACAAATTGAACATCATTAAAGCATAATGATTAATCACAAAAACAATATGTAATTCTATATTGTGAAATACGTATTTCTAATACGTATTTATAAATGAAATTTTGTCTTGAAGCATGGTGTAGCATAGCTAACAGTCTTCACGCTAGGTACTCATATGTGGGCGTATCTGCGTGTGGGCAGACCCGCCTGGAGATGGATGGAGGAGAGATGTCTCAGTTCCTAAGACGATCGGAAATATGTGTTTTCTGATGGTCTTAGGTGACCCCTGTGAAAGAGTCATTCCACTCCCAAAGTGGTCGCGACCCATAGGCTGAGAACTGCTGGTGTAGGAGGAAGACAGGGATTATATTCACAAGTATATATAGGTTTGATAGGATATTTGTATATGATTTTTATTATTGCTGCAAAAGCAGCCATGAATGTAGTGCAGCATTTAAGGGGAAAAATTAAGAAAACGTCTTAGACATTAGTAAACGCCTTGAGAGAAGGAGGCTCTGACTCGGTGCTCAGGGCCATCATCTGAAAGAAGACCACGGTTAATCGGCAGAGCAGGTAGCCAGTGTCTTCACCCTGCGTTGGTGAGTAGCCACTGGGGACTGAACCGCTTGTGGGTGATCGTCTAAGTTGCAGTGACTGCTCCGTCTCAGCATCGAGGAACGAGGGGTGACGCTAACTGAAGACTGTAGGAACCAAGAGTCCAATAGACAAATGGACCATAGAAACGTCAGTCTCCGTGACCTTGAGACTAGACGAACTAGATGGTGCCTGGCTATCACTTTGCACTGCTCTGGAGCATATGAGGACTTGGATAGGGTAGGAGAAAAAATAGGGAACAGAATCCGTGATCAAGACCAATAGCACGTGTAGTAGGATAGAAACTGCTGGGACCCCAAAACACTTGTCTTAAGTCACCCGTCAGGTCTGTAAAGAATCACTCCCATTTTCAGCCAACCAATAGACAAGTCTGTAAGAGGAACAATAGCACGAGGGAGGTATAAGCACCTTAGAATAATCGACCATTTGAGATCAACAGGGTGACATTATTGAAGGAAACAGTTCAGAAGGGTGAAGAAAGAAGGAGCAATTGAAAGAGAGGACACAGGGGGAACAAAGAATGTTGCCCAACAAGGACTGCAGTGATTAATATGAAGCTGATAGTGTGTGAATTCTTGGTTGGCAAGTTCTCCTACTTTGTAAAACTTCACCCAGTTCACAATACAAAGGTTATATTTTAAATAAATAATATAAAGAAGCCTTTTCAGATTTTAACTTAGAAAAGTTATTAAGATTTTATTTGACTTACCTTGTCTGAATATGAAAGTTGTTTGTGGTCCCTGTATGCTCATAATCATGAATGGCAGCAGCAAAGACCATTGCTAAAATTTCCAGTTCAGTGAGCCAGTGCTAGTAAATTAAAAAAAAATTCGATCATAATTAGAAAGTAGAAGCCATATTGCTTTTCTACAAAAGGGTGCCCAGTAACACAATCATATAAAATATTATTTATTGATTTTAAATATTGTTCCTATTTCACATGAATAATTATAGAAGTTAATAAAAATATCATTAATAGCACATGCAAGTATAGTTTTGCAGAAGATAGTTACAGAGTGGTTGGTGTTGTACATCAACAGAGAAAATCCAGGATTTCAAGGCAGATTCGGAAGAGCATGTGCAGTGAGGCTATCATTGCTGACAGCAGATGCATCTCGGCTGAAGGTAGAGAATACCACAAAGATGGTTACTTGTGTTTCACTGACTATGTAAAGGCATTTGACACCCATGGAAGCAACAGTCAAGAAATCAGATGACACTCTGTGTTGAGTACTTCCAGCTACAAAAGGTCTCTTTTAGATGTTAAAAAGCCACAATGTCATTTTGAGGACTAAGGCACACCTGAGGTAAGTGATGTTATGTTCAGTAACTTCATTTACATGAGAAAATTGGATAATCAATAAGGAACACTGAAGAAGAAAAACATGATGCCTTTGAATTGTAATGTTGGCAATGAATATTGCATATAATGGGGACCACCAGGACAATAAGCAAATCTGTCTCAAAAGAAATATAGCCACGGTGCTCCTTAGAAGTAAGGCTGGCAGGACTCATCCATGAATTTTGGACATGTTACTAGGAGGAACATGTCCCTGGAGAAAGACGCAGTGCTTAGTAGAAGAGCAGTGAAAATAAGGTTACCCTGAACATAGAGGATGGGGTGACAAAGCACTTGCCACAATGAGCTCACACACTGCAGTGACCATGGGGCTGGCGAAGGACTTGGCCATGTTTTGTTCTGTTTTACAGCACGGTGTTGCTGTGAGTGGAAACCTACTCAAAGGCATCAAATAACAGCAACAAGATGTGGACAATGGATGCTTATAATGTCAATTATTGTTTTTGACTTTAAGTTTAAAATTTAGATGTGCCCATCTCTAGATCACTGGACATACCTTGCAGAGAGGTAGTGGGGAGGACATGAGTCACTTAGGGTTCAGTATAGCAATAATGAAACCCACAACCTTCCTCTAGTTCTTAAACGCTTCCTCCCCCCAACTACCATGACCCCAATTCTACCTTGCAAACCTGGTTAGACCAGAGAATGCACAGCAGTACAGATGGGAACTGGAAACGCAGGGAATCTAGGACAGGTGAGCCCCTCAGGACTAGGGGTGACAGTGGCGATACCAGGAGGGAAGAGGGGTGTAGAAAGGGGGAATTGATCACAGGATCTACATATAACCTCCTCTCTGGAGGATGGGCAGCAGAGGGGTGGGTGAAGGGAGACGCCGGGCAGTGTAAGATAAGATATAATAATAATTTATAAATTATTAAGGGTTCACGGGGGAGGGGGGAGCAGGGAGGGAGGCGAAGGGAAAAAAGGAAAATGAGCTGGTTCCGGAAACCCAAGAGGAAAGCGAATTTTGGGGAATGATGAGGGCAACAAATGTATAGGTGTGCTTTATACGATTGATCTATGTATTGTGATGAATTGCATGAACCCCAATAAAATGATTAAATAAAAAAAATTAGATATCATCATTTGGATTGCAAATTTGAAAATGATTATTTTCCATCATTTCAAAGTAAATCTTGAGTGGATTTTGAATCCATAGCTTTACCGTTGTTGCTTCTCATGAAGCCAATGACATGTTTTTAACACATAGCTTAGACATCATTTAAATGTGTTTTAGTACAAGTGTTATAGAACAGTCTAATAAGAGGAAAATTTCTATGCAAATGCTGAAAATACTCATTTGTTCAAATGAAAACCTGAAAATGTTTTAAAATATATGTATTTAAAGATTTGGTTGTATCACTGGGATTTCATAAAATTTTCTATTAATTATGAATATTCTATAACTGCAAATAAATCTAATAAGAAAAAAATAAAATGAATGGTTTTCATATAAAATCTGTACTACATACCATATAAATCTTTTTATTATGATATGGGTACCTTAACAAAATTAGTATTATAAGTCCATTTATAATTAAGTTAATTTTAATTTAATTTATTAATTGCTCACATTTTGAACATTTTTTCCTATAGTAAATAATATGGCACCATTAACTTGCTGTTGTTAGGTGTTGCCAAGTCAGTTCCAACTCATAGAGATGCTCTGTCCAACAGAAGGACAGACCGACTGGTCCTCCGCCATCCTCACGATTGTTCTTAGGCTTGAACCCATTGTTGCCGTTACAGTGCCAGTTCATATTGTCGAATATGCAGTTACAGTGCCAATTCATATTGTCGAATATGCA